GGGCAGAGTCAGGGAGGAGGGCGAATTTGTGAGAAAGCCAGCCTTGCTGGGGTTTGCAGGCGTTTTGTTGCTGTTATTTTGTCATGGAAAGAACCAGAGAGGCATACAGGCAAGTGCACTGAATGGAAAGAGAGGTTCTGTGAGGAGCGAGGTGTCACACAAACAAACAACCAACTAGAAATCATACCAGAGATAGAAGGCGGCCAGTCCTCACTGTCAAGGACCCTGCTTCCTATAGAGAAAACAGGCTTCCTTTACTTGTTTTTAAATATTAAACTTGTAGCTCAATGGCTTACCTCTTTAAAAAAAAAAGATTTATTTTTATTTTATGTGTATGGGTCTTTTGCCCGTATATATGTCTGTGTACCTCCTGTGAGCCCAATGCCTGAGGAGGCCAGAAGAGGGTATTGGATCATCTGGAACTGGGATTATGGACAGTTGTGAGCCACCTTGTGAGTGCTGGGAATCGAATCCCAGTCCTTTGGAAGAGCAACCTGCTCTTAACCTGCGAGCATTGATGGTTTGTCTCGTTACCACAGAGAAGGAACATGCGGTCCGTGTTACACACATGACTAGCCACATTTCCTCTGAAGCTAACTCGCTCATTAAACCTGCCCTCTGATTCGGGACTTGGCTGCTAATGCTCAAATGGGTCTGTAACTGGCCACAGAGGACAAGACTCAGCAAGAGAGGGAAGTGAAGAGAGAGAACTGTGTGTTCAAAGGGACTCTCCTTTCTCCTGCTAAGAATGTGGCTTGTGCTACAAATCCCTTTCTCACCGGGAACCACAGACAAAATAAAAGCTTACAAACAGTGTAATCGGCTATGGTTAAGGGGCCCTGTACAATAATGGATCTTGTAAAAGCATGAACATGAGCCAGGAACTGAACAGAATATTGTTATAATCTGTGGACTTGAAGCAGCCGAACGAACACCCCAGTACACCTCAGTCTAGCTGCCCTCAATGCCCCCCAGGAACGGGACAGGATGGCCCTTCTGACCACAGAGACAAGGGCGGTGAAGACAGCAGAGCTGGAACTCTCCTGAGATCATGCCTGGGCTTCTGACTGCAGTCAGCCTCCAAGCCCACAGGGTCCTGCCACAGCAGCTGCTGCCAGGGCTAAGCCTCACCAGCCATCACCGTCACCAGCACCAGCATGTGCCTACGCCATGGAGTCACCACCTACATCTCAAACATGTCTGCAATCAAGGCAACAGGGAGGCTAGTGGCCCCGTTAGGCTACAGGGAGCAGTTAGCTGAAGAATGTCAGGGGATGATAAGCATGGTCAGCCATTATCAGGGTCCACAGGGGGCTGGGGCAGGAGTCTAGGAAAACAAGTCTCTTTAGTCTCAGGAATGCAGAACTCAGAGCCTGCCACCTGGCCCGGTTCCCACAGCCTGGTCATCCCTGAGACTCCTGGGTGACCCCAGTAGCCCCTCACCTCTTCAAGGAAAGTCTGACATCTCTTTACCAGGTAAAGGGCCAGACTGATGAAATCCCTTCAGCTAATTCATGCAGATCAGCTGCGTGTGTGTGTGTGTGTGTGTGTGTGTGTGTGTGTGTGTGTGACTGTGTATATGTGGAAGTATGTGTGTATATGTGTGTATGAGTGTGTGAGTGTGTGATTCTGAGTATATGAGTGTTGTGTACATGATTGTGTGTGTCTGTGTGTGCACATTGTTGTGTGTATATACGTAAATGTGTGTGTGTCAGTTTATGTGTGTTTGTGTAAGTATTTATGAGTGTTTGTGTTAAGTATGTGACTGTATATGAGTGTGTACTTCTGATTGTGTTTATGAATATATGTATGTCTGTGTGCATATGTGCATGTGTGTATACCACTTCCCCACACACACACACACACACACACACACACACACACACACAGAATGAATTAACATGAGAGATCACGTTAGCTCAGAGCCTTTAAACCAACACACAGGTGTCAGGCTAGCTGTCATGGAGAAGGTCCCACGAGGCTCTCTGAGGAGGCCCAGGAGTAATAGGCATTTTAATGGTGGCTGACATGCCTGCCTCTGAGGAAGGGTGAGTGTGTGGTGTGTGTATGTACAGATCAGGATGTATATTGTGGACGTGTGTGTGTGAGTGTGTGTGTGTGTGTGTGTGTGTGTGTGTGTGTGTGTGTGTGTGATAGTTAATCTCGGTTGTCAACCTCGGCAGGAGGTCTGGAATCACCTGGGAGACCTGTTGCTGGGCGTGTTTGGGGGGATTATCTTGATTGTACATACTGAGGTGGGAAGACCCGCCCACTGTGGAAGGGAAAGAGATGGAGGTAGAAGGCAGGTTAAGGGTAAAGGTGCAGGGGAAGGGGAATGGGAAACTGAGAGAAAACGCTGCCCTCTTCCCTTGGCTGCAGGATGGTGAGCAGGGAGTGAGGCTGCGGTAGAGCAGGAGCTGGGGCCCGGCCCTGAATTACAGGCACGTGACTGGTGCTTATGACGAGCACCACCGAGCTTCCACAGGACTTTTAAAATAGCTGCATCTTATCTGTACCATGGCCTCATCAAAATGCATCTGAAACCAATTACTTACTTTGCAGAAATAAAGTTTTAAGGGAAATCTGATGATCTTGTTCTGCAAATGAAAGAAAAAAAATCGATGTTACTTGCCATAAATAGAAGGGCCAAAACAAAGAAGCCGCAGAAGTCACTTCACCAGCCGGAGCCATTGAGGACCCAAGCCGTTGAGGACCCAAGCCAAGACGGCTCGGCTCCGCTTTGCCAAGGGCCGGAAGCCTGAGCGGGCAAGTCAAGGCAGCCCCCAACGGAGTTTCTCTGTCCGAAGTCCAAAAGATAGACTCATGAGACACCATGTGTCTTCCTGCTGGCTCAGGAGCACCCCAAGTCATCTCACGTCCCTTAGAGGCACCCCAGCCACTCTCATCAGTGAGTTTCAAAACACATTTTCGGTTTGCTGGTCAAGGGTCAAGGTGCACAGAGGTCTCAGCACCAGGTGGCAAAAGCTTCGAATTTCTTGTTGCTTTGGAAGCTAGACAGGAAGTACACATGGGTGTTTTCTGAACTGGGCTGAGTATGGATTTTCTGTTTACACACTTGCTCAACAAATGGCCATACAGTAAAAGAGAGGCAGCCTGGCTGTGAGGACCTCCACACATGGAAGGCTGAGACAGGAGGATCAAAAGTTCTGAGACCAGCCTGGTTACAGACATGATAAGTCCAGCCTGGGCTACACAGTGAGTTCCAAGTCAATCCGAGCTATGACTCCCTGCCTCTAATAATAACAATAATGGATAGATGGATGGATGGATGGATGGATGGATGGATGGATGGATGGGTGAATGAATGGGCGGATGGATGGGTAGGTGGGTGGATGGATGGATGGATGGATGGATGGGGGATGAATGGGTGGATGGATGGATGGGTGGGTGGATGAATGAGTGGATGGATGGATGGGTGGGTGGATGGATGGATGGGTGGGTGGATGGATGGATGGGTGGGTGGGTGGGTGGATGGGTGGGTGGGTGGATGGGTGGATGAGTGGATGGGTGGATGGACAGGTGGATGGGTGGGTGAGTGGATGGGTGGATGGATGGATGGATGGGTAGGTGGGTGGATGGATGGATGGATGGATGGATGGATGGATGGATGGATGGATGGGTGGGTGGATGAATGGGTGGATGGATGGATGGGTGGGTGGATGAATGGGTGGATGGATGGATGGATGGATGGATGGATGGGTGGATGGATGGGTGAGTGGGTGGGTGAATGGGTGGATGGATGGATGGGTGGATGGATGAAATCACAGTGTGCCTGGCCTCATGGCCCCTCCTGATCACTTGCCCCTATTATAATGTCTGTTGTGAATGCTGCTGCTCAAGGTTACTGTAGAGAGACAAGAGGTGGGAGGGAGCTGAACTGGACAGTCACATCTATCTTGTGGCCACAGTAAAGGAAGAAACAGATGGCATGGGACTCAAAGGACCAGGCCTGCTCCCAGGTGAGAAACTCCAGGGGCACCCCTCTTTGCTGCTGGCGTCTCAGACCTTCCCACTTCTATTTAGGACTCTGTAAGACAGACATCAGAGGTGCAGGCTCTGGTCTGCTGAACAGAACTTTAGGATTATTTAGATCCACTTTTGTCCTACCAACAGGGAAACTGAGGCCCAGAGAGGAAGCTATCTACCCATGCATGACCTCAGGACAAGGCAAGTTCCCTGAACATTCTCCTTGGTCAGTGTGGCCCAAATTGTTTTGTTCATCTTTCAAGACTCAGACCGGCTCTTCATTCATGCATCCATCCATTCATTCATACATGTATACATACATACATACATGTATCCACCCACCCACCTACCCACCCACCCATCCATGCATTCATTCATTCATCCATGCATCCGTCCGTTCATTTTATTCATGCTCCTGGACTCCTTGGTAGGTGGGTCAGGAGTCTGCCAGGAGAACTCTTTATTCTCACTGAGCTGAAACCACATCAGCACAGAGAGCATCCATGCTCATAGCCCAGTCTTCCCTGGGCAGCCCAGTCTCCGTCGATCTTAGAAATACCTGTTATGGGCCATTTGCTGACCCTCTTTCTGCACTCCTGGTGTAATAAATGGTCCCCACAGGTTGCCTGTTTGAACAACTGGCCCCCAGCTGTCGGTGGCTCTGTTTAGAAGGCTGTGGAACCTTTAGAGGGTGGAGCCTCGATAGAGAAAACGGATCCCTGGGGATCAGGTGTTGACGCCTCATAGCCCATCCCCTCTTCCTGTTCGCTTTCTGCTCCCTGAGTGTGGATACAATGTCACCAGCCAGCCTCCTGTCTCTGCCACCACGCTTCCCTGTGGCCTCCTTCCATGTCCTCCCTTGCCATGAGGGACCACCCTCAGGAATCATAAACTGGAATACACTGTTTGTCCTTACAGTTGATTTTGTCAGAGTGTTTATGACCCTAACAGGAAAAAAAAGAACAGACAAACCCCAACTCACATGAGACTCACGGGTGTGTTTCTTCTTCTAGGGAGGATATTGAAGCTGAGGGGAGAAAGACTGATCTGGAGAGGAGAAAAAGGCCCTCAGGGGACAGGTGCTAGGCTGTGGCATAGCTCTGGGCCCACAGCCTGCAGTCCCCCTGCTGGACAGCAGTCTCATCCTCCCTGGCTGGTGAGGTCCCTGGTGGGAGATGTCATGACTTGGATATAAAATGGCCCCCACCACTCGCGTGTTTGAATACTTGATCCACAGCTGGTGGTACTGTTCTGTGGTGCTCTGGGAACTTTAGGAGATGGGGCGCCGATGGAGAGATTAGGCTGCTTGGGTCTTGAGAATTATAGTAGTCCTGTGGTGGTCTGAATGAGAATGGTCCCCATAGGTTTGTATGTTTGAATGCTTGGTTCCCAGTTAGTGGAACTGTTTGGGAAGGATTAGGAGGTGTGGCCTTGTTGGAAAGGATGTGTTCCTGGGGGTGGACTTTGAGGTTTCGAAAGTCCACCCCAGTCCCAGGCTCTTTTTCTCAGCCTGCAACTTGCAGATCATGTGAGTTCTCAGCTGCCACTCCGGCACCATGCCTGCCTGCCACCAAACTCCACACTGGAATGGATGATCACAGACCCTGAAACCGTAAGCAAGCCCCAATTAAATGCTTTTCTTTTTAAAGTTGACTTGGTCATGGTGTCTCTAGAACAATGAACAGTGACTCAGACAGACCCTGTCCTAAGTTGTTTTTTTGGTTTTTGGTTTTTTAATTTTGTTTTGTTTTTCCTGTTGCTTTAATAAGTACTCTAACAAAAACAATTTACAGGAGACAGTTTCTTCTGGTATGCAGCCCCTGCGGGATATAGATTACTGTGGCAGTGAGGGCCACAGCAGAAGCATCCACACTCAGCAAACAGAAAGTGAGCAGGAAGTTGGGTGGGGCTAAAAAGCCTCAAGGCCCATCCCCAGTGACCCACTTCCTGAAGTGAGGCTCCACCTTTTAAAGGTTCCACAACCTTCTCAAACATCACCAACAGCTGGGGATCAAGTGTCCAAACTGGTGTGCCCACGGGGGGACATGTCACACTCAAGCTACAATAAGCCCAGCCAGTTTCCTGATCTGAGGAGATGTGAAGACTACAGCCTTGAACACCATGTCATGCCTTCTCTATCATGATGGACCACACCCTCTTATGCTGTGAGCCAGAATAAAGCCTACCTCACAGAGACAAGAAAAATAACTAGAGGCTGGAAAGATGGTTCAGAGGTTGAGAGCACTGGCTGTTCTTCCAGAGGTCCTGAGTTCAATTCCTGGCACCCACATGGTGGCTCACAACCATCTGTAATGAGATCTGGTGCCCTCTTCTGGCATGTAGGCATACATGTAGGCAGAACACTGTATACATAATAAATAAATAAATCTTTAAAAAAAAGAAAAGAAAAACAACTATACAGGACCAAGGGAACAGATTTCCTTTGAGGGCTCTGTCTTTACACAGACTAGGGAAACCCAGTGACACCCCCGCTTCCAGGGGCCTCCCTTCCCCACTGCCCTCACTCTGACGTTGCCACACAACCAAGCAGCATGTTCTTACACAGCATCTTCTGAGACCTCAGTAAACAGCCCATCAGCTCTGTCCCCTGGGGAGCATGGACTCAGACACCATATGTTGTTTCTGTCACTCCATGTCATTTCCCAAGTAAAGGTTGCTCCAAGGCCCCTCACCTCTGGGTCACAACCAGCTCTGTGACAGACTTTTCCATCCACTGGCATCTCCTGCAGGAAAAGGCCATTTGACAGGTTGAAGCTCCGCCCACCCCCGCCCAACTCACACACCTGTCTTTCTCTGATGTTGGTTTGTGCTTATTTTAGGGTCCTGGGTAGGAGAGGGAATATAAGGCAAAGTTGGTATTTAGGCGTAAGGAGCCGATTGTCATCTGGGGTGTGGTGTGGGGGTGTGTGTGTGTGTGTGTGTGTGTGTGTGTGTGTGTGTGTGTGGTATGTGTGGAGGTCAATAGGCAACTTCACATCTTTCTCAGTTGCTCGCCACTTTATTTTTTGAGGTAGTGTCTCATCAAACTTCCGGCTCGCTCACAGGATAAATTGGCAAGTCAATGAGCATCAGGGATCTGCCTGTCTCTGCCACCATCACTGCCAGCCGAATTCTGTGGTTACCGACATGGGCCACTGGGCCCAGCTTTCACATAGGTTCTGGGGATCCAAACTCTTCAGGCTTCACAGCATCTCCCCAACTTCAACACTTCCTTTTGAGAGAGGGAGAGAGCATGGTTCCTGGCAGAGTTGTGGGAAAGTTGGACCAACAGATTCTGAAAGGGGACATTGGTCTGCCTATGTCTCCTGCTAGGACACAGCTGTCCATTTCCTCTGGCATCTGAATTCACCTGGTGCACCTGAGTTCCTAGAAATAGAACTCCTGCTCCAACTGCTGCCTCTGTAACTAGCGAGGCCTGGGGCTTCTGCTCCTCATCTCTGCTTGCACTGCCTTTCCCTGCCTCAGGACTGAATGTGGATTCTGTTACTGGCCACAACCCAAGCAATGCCCCAGACTTATGAGTTCTGCCCTCCTGGAGCAGGGAGTGTTGGCAGTTGGGTTGATTTGCATATCTGCCTGCAAGGTCTCTGGGGCTGACAAATCAGCTGCAGAAAGCATCTCTCCTAGCCTAGCTCACACAGGCACTTGGCTCTATCCACAGGAAAGCCATCTCAGAGGAGGCTAGAATCCCTGATTCCGTGGGGTCATGTCACACATCAGTTCCCTGAAAAGAGGCAGGGAGGGTCAGGCCCCTGCCCTCCTGAGCAGTCACTAGGATCCCACTGTTGCGGGGGGGGGGGGGGGGGGGATGAACAGGCTGTAATCAGAATGGTAAATTGCAGCCGATACAGAACCCAGCCTTGGGATACTTGGGAAAACCATGGTGGGGGTGTTGCAAAGCTGGTAACGAGGTAGAGACAAAGTGGGGCCATCAAAGAGACAGTGCCGTAAACATGCGTGGGCCTGCAGCACCCCACACTCAGGAGGCGGCCACAGTGAGTCTGCGACAACCAGGAGCCAGATGCTAGCCACCTGCCATCTCAGACTCGGTCCCAAAATTTTTGGGAGTCAAAGACCAACTCCTGAGTCCCTGAGCAGAGCCTTGCTTGGGTTTGGCACAGAGCAGCTGTAGCCACCACATCTAGAATGCACTGCCGGGGTGCCTGTCACATCCTTTATTTTGGTGGCCTCAAGGCAAGTCCTTTTCTGGTCCTGAAGAGGTGACACAAGGGGCTACTCTCTGCAACGGGATCTCCGAACCTGAACTACAAAACATGTCCAATTAGATTTGCTTAGATCTTTTCAGCAAATACTGTGTGTGCCCTGAGGATTTGGTGGCAGGTGCACAGGATGCCCACCAGTGAGGTCACAAGACTGATGTCTCCAAAAGCCATTTGGCAAACGACATGGACATGCTTGCTCCCCAAAGCACTGGCTGAGCATGCAGGAATTGTCTTAGGGAAGTGTCCACGAGCACAAAGGTGTAGCATGCTCATTGCAGTATGAGTTGTGATCTGGACCAGCAGGTTGTCCTTCAGTGACAGGGTCCTAAGAGGGAGGGCCATGAGATGAGAATATAAAGAGGATGGGGAAGCTGAGGTCAGGAGATCTTGCATAAGCTGATGGTTTATACTAAGCAAGTTTATTAAGAGGTACAGTATATTATATACTACTTGTGGGGGAAATGGGACAGGGGCAGAGGCAAGCTAACCAAGCAATGTTGAACAGAATGTCTCAAGGGCATCACAGAGTGAGCACATAGCAACCTTGGGACTGATAACCACAGACCCCTATGGTGGGCAGAGTAAGTATCTCGGGATCCAAAGCCACAGTTCCCTCAAGGTCCCGGCTCCAGGCCATTACTGGCTCTGCCAAGCATATTCCTGGCTTTAGAGAAGGAGTTCTGCTCCTCCTCCATACATCAGGGCCTCTGGGGAAGCCTCAGGTCACTCTGCCCTCAACAAGATGTAACCAAGAAGCTTAGACACTCTGCAGGCTGCAGATGTCCAACCATTCAGGACCGAAGCACAAGGCAGGGACACTTCAGATGAAGGGACATTGGAAGAAACCTTTGAAGACCCTAACATGAATTTGTCAACATCACAGAAAATGCTGGTATTTTAAGAAGTGGAGGAGTTGGGGATTTAGCTCAGTGGTAGAGTGCTTGCCTAGAAAGCACAAGGCCCTGGGTTCGGTCCTCAGCTCCAGAAAATTAAAAAAAAAAAAAAAAGTGGACAAAATACCACGGAATGCACTCCCATCATAGACCAGAGAGCTGGTGAGCAACATTCCAATAGAGCTGAACTTAGTGCTGGTCACTGTGATACCACGTGGGAGCCAAGGTAAGTCAAGACTACACAGTGAGACTTCGTCTCAAAAGGAAAACAAGGAAATCCAGCAGCAATCATGCAGAGTGGAGCCATCACAGACGTTCTTCATTTTCTTCCCTCTAACCATTGGCATGTTTCCAGATCATACAAATATGATGGAGTCGTCCCAAATCAGGAGCAAAGAGTTGCTCAAAGTTACCCACAGCCACCTGCCGTGGCTATTCTTGGTTGTCAATGTGACTACTTCTGGAAGTAACTAAAACCCAGGCGGCTGGGAACACCTGTGAGGGATTTTGCTCTTTGCCTGCTTGCTCTCGCTCTCCCTGGCAAGTCCATTCCTTCACTGGCATTAGAGCCTACTTCTTCGAGAGTCCGGTGTACACTGAAAACCAGCTGAGACATCCAGCCTCCTAGACTGAAAGACTGCTGGATTCTTGGACCTTCCACTGGTAGACAGCCATTGTTGGACTAGCTGGACCACGGCCTGTAAGCCACTCTAATAAACCCCTCCATATATACATGGAGTGGGGGTTGGTATTCATCCTATCAATTCTGTTCCTCTAAAGAACCCTGACTAATATACCACTCCACTGAAAAGCATGGTAGTCTCCAGCAATTTCTGCAAAATGGAGGAGACTTCATAAAAGAGACAGGCTCTTCCTTTAATGGCAAATGTTTTATTTTCAACAAAAAGTCTGACGTTGAAGCTTATAAGACAAGTTAAGGGAAGGATGCTTAAAGAATTCATTGCTGTGTGGAAATCAGCTGCTTGTTCTTAACTCAGTGTCTCTCTTGTTTCAAGATGCTTGGGAAGGTTTTCTGCTTCTTGTCCACCTGAAAATTCATCAGTTTCACAAATCGGAGAAATAAGTGTATCACTTTGAAAATGTACCCTTTTAAAAAATAGTGTTGAGTACTTTGCGATTTTAGCGCAGGATGATTGAATTTGCCCTGTCCCTGAGTTCCCAGCCCAGTTTACTCAGAGTCCCTTGGTCTCTGTTGACCTCCACCTGTTAGTCCCCTCCAGGGACCTATGATGTCCTCGCCTCCCACCCACTGTGTTCTTGTCTTGTTGCTGTGATGTTTGGAGGTCACTGGCCTGTGATGCTAGAAAGACCTCTGAGAGGATTAAAGCAAATCATTTATCCAGCTTGGGTGTGGTGGCACATGCCTGTAACCTGGGCTCTTGGGGGTCGAGGCAGGAGGACCAGAAGTTCCAAGGTCATCCTCAGCTACAAATTGAATATAAAACCAGCCTGGGCTACGTGAGAACTTCTCTCAAAAACAAAAAGAAAGAAAGGAAAAGGTGTGTGTGGGGGGGTGGGGGGTTGAAGATGGAGAGGACAAGAAGGAAGGGGAGGGAAGGAAATATAAAAAACAAAGCATTTGGATATATATTTCGCCTCTTCTGTATTCCTAACACTGACACCTGGGACGGGGGGGGGGGGGGGGGGGGGGGGGGGGGGGGGGGGGGGGGGGGGGGTACACGACACGTGTTTCAGACCACTTTGTGCTAAGGTTTCTGACCTTTGAAAGGGATGTCAATCCTAACCACCAGGGAACACATGCACTCAGACTGTGGCAGTGGTGGGGACCTCCAGTGGATATCCTGTGCTGTCCAGCACGCCAGCCCAGTCCATCCTCACTGCGGTGGTCACAGCACTTTCCCTATGAAGACACTGTGACACTGCTGAGTGAACTGGCCCCAGTCAGAGCAGCAAATGGCAGGGCTGGGCACAGAGCCCATGTGGTCTGACTCGGGAGCCAGGGTGCTCACCTCTGCAGCCCGGGAGTCATGCTCACATGGATGTTCATGCACCACAGTGCTGGTTTTCTGCCGGCACAGCGACTGCACCGGACTCCACTGCTGTTTCAGGCAATGACTGAGGCTTCTCAGGCAGCAGCCTCACAGGACTTCTACCTCCTGCTGGATCCACCTCCTGCTGCTGCCACCAAATGTAATTTTTAACAAAATCTCTATCGTTCCATTTATCAATAAGACTCAGGAGTCAGAGGTTGGGGCGAAAACCTGCTAGCTCAGAGAGGTTGAGGATCAACTAGCTGACCTTCCCTCTTCACAGGTGTCTCTCAAAGAGAGTGTCCTTCTGCTCTGCCCAACCAAAAATGACCACAACACTCAAAGCCCCTCCCTACTACTTCCTGTGTGTCTCTCTATCCATCTTCTAGATTACTTCTGACTCTATGATCACTTTCTGTCAACTAGTCACTGGCTCTACTTCCTAGCCCAAAGTTGATTTTATCTAATGACCACAAATTCAAACTTGGGATTCACAGTGTGATAGAATATCCCACAACATCACAGCTGTGTGGGGTCAGCCTAACCCTTCTCACCCTAAAATGTTCTTTGGTTTTTCAAAGAGAATGGGGGAGAGCAACTCCCATCATACTTTTAAAAGTGTCTCCCCCTCCCAGGAATGGTAAGTAAGAAAAGTCTGGGTCAAGGAAGGATGAAGAGCTACTCTGGAGAGTTGGAGAAGATTCCCAGGACCCCAATCTTAAACCCTGGGGAAGGATTTTTCAGAACCAGCCTCCCAGTGGCTGCATTGAGTCCTCCAGAACAGAGGAGGCACCAGAGAGAGATCCAGCCTGAAAGTAGGTCAACCGGTGTAAAGGAAGAGCCTGGAGAGAGAGAGACACACCCATTTGGTTCCAATGATGGTATTTGAGCCTTCTGATGTATCAATGCCTGAATTCCAATTGCCTTTGAACTCTTCGGTTAGGTGAAGCTTTTGAAGTTTTCCTTGCTTGTTTTGTGTTTTCACTCAAGCCAATTGTAACTGGGACTCTTCCTTTCATCGAGAGAACTCTGGCTAAGACAGGCTGAGAAACTCATGGAATTTAATCATGCAATTTCTTTTTTAAATCATGAAAATCTTCCCTGACCTTATGAACTTTATAATTCACTGGGGGACAGAGGCAGATGACACTCTAGAGAGTGAGGGACAAAAGACAAGAGAGGTCACCACTAATACCAGTCTCCAGGCAGCACAGGGCTCAAAGGGAAATTCACAGCGTCATCGCACATACTAGACTTTTCTATCTGAGGGGGTTGGGGAAAAAAGACACTCACTCTCTTGATGGTTTCCTTCTTTATTTGGAGGCATGGACAGGTTTCAGCCTCTTCTGATAGACTGACTGGATTGGGCTAACTGAGTCAAGGGTGGTACAGCCATACAAAAGCATATTTATAGATTGTTACATAAAGTATTTCCTCAGACCAAGGTCCCTAACCTTAATTTACATGTCTTACTGAAGGAGACCATCATATGCCTCCATGACTCTAGTCCTTTATGATGCATTGTGTGCAATACACAATAATACAAGAGCCCCAGGTATGCCTGAGGTGTCTTGTGACCAAAGTCATGGGATGGCCACAAGGACCCCTCAGCAAAACAAATATTGTTTTCAAGAAGGATTCTTCAAGGTCAAGATATTTCTAAAAAAAAAT